GCGGTATTGCAATGATAAGGTTGATTTAGGGATTTACACTGTAAAATGGACATAATCTTTTATACACGTCTGTTGAGTACCTTTCAGTGGTACCACCACTTCCTTTTTTATCGGTTGCACCCAATCGTTTTGTAGAAAAGTCAACTTATATTTTGAAAAGTTGTGAGAGATCTATGCTTTCATGAAGAAATTTCAATTGAAAATAACTCAATGACTAATCATGACATCAGCATGAAAATTCATACCGTAACTTTATAAGCTTTTATGAATATACCAGCCAAATTTGAAAGAAATCCGTGTAGGTTTAAGCGAGATACGGAAACCAGCACGTTTCAAGCTCCCGCGATGCGAAACCGTCTTCAAACCGCTATGTTTCGCAAAGACAATTCTAGCCCGATTTTGACCGCATCGCCCAAAATTGAGTTTTACTTTCTAAATCGAGAATGAAATGATATTTTAGGATGAAACTTCGACATTAGTATCCTGAAATACTGATCGTTGTGTGTTGTTAACAAATCTACTCTTCTTCCATTCCTTTTGGTAGATACAGGTCAGTTATTTGGCTTCATTTTTTGGGCATGTCCTAAACCCCACTGAAATGTGCGGTATTGCAATAATAAGGTAGAGTTAGTGATTTACATTATGAAATAGACATAATCCTCTACATAGGTCTGATACCTTTCAGTGGTATCACCACTTCCTTTTACAATGGTAATACCGAAGCGTTTTGAAGGAAAGTAAAGGTATATTTTAAAGGTTGTGACAGATGTTTGAATGAAGCAAATTTTGATTGAAAATAACTCAATGACTAATTACGACATCAGCACGGGAACTCATACAGTAACTTTGTAAGCTTCAATGAACATATCAGCCGAATCTTAAAGAATCTGTGCAGTTTTAGACGAGATACGGAACCCGCGGCCGGTACGTTTTAAGCTCGCGTTATGTTCCGAAAGCCCTATGGTCCGAAATCTTTGTTCCTTTCTAAAATGCCCCCGAATTAAGTATCAAACACATACCCGAATGCTATTTCTACATGTAGCATGTATATAATGTGAAATCTGTAGATGTTTTGAAAAGATCTCCAGATGTTTTCAAAAAAATTTCGAGATTTTTTCAAAACATCTACAGTATTTTTCAAAACATCTACAGATTTTTTCCAAAACATCTACAGATTTTTTCAAAACATCTCGAGATGTTTTTTCAGTAATTTTAATTTGAAACTAGTTTTACTAAGGTTTGTCAAAATCTATATTTCGTCCCGGGGAAGTTTTAATTCACATTCTTCTAGTACGTATGTAATTGTACCCAAACAACCATGCAGTCATGCTCATTCAGCAGCTCAAGAGTTTTTGTGTCAGTCATAGTCAGAGGCATATTAAGGGCACATTCTGTGTATTTGCATATTTGTTCCTGACTTCAAAGACAATGTACAAGAAAGACAATTGAAAACGAATACTAGTAGGTGTAGTTTGACTTTAATAACTGCATTGAGCGAAGAATGTACACATATAAGGTACATGTATATATAGTAGTCTTACAGAATTAAATTCAAAACAACAGAATGTACTCTACATACAAGTCACTATTAGAATATTCTATAAGAGGTTTTAGAAACTGATTCTTACAGGTTTTAGAAACTGATTCTTACACGTGTCCCTCAGAACAATATGAATGGACCAAAATAATCAAGAAAGCACATACCGGATCTTAGCTCTACATTTTGTTACTAGAATCCACTTCCAGTTATTCTACTTTTGGAGTAAAATCCTAACAGACTTCACCATTCATGTTGTTGCTATAAACTAACCCTAACACTGTTAAAGTCGGTACTTCGAACCATTCTAGACAGCTTCTCGTCCTTCAAAGGGCCAAAGAACCAAATAATCAAAGGTCCCTAAGAATCACATAAATATTCTTTTCAAGTACCTTAACTAGTTTCTACATA